AAAAGAAAATTGCAGAACAATGTCCTCTACAAATATTCACACAGAAATTCTTAACAAAACATGAGCAAATCAAAATCAGCAGTACATTAGAATGATTAAGCACTATGATCATACATTTATTTCTGGAATGTAAAAATGTTTCTACATACAAAATTCAATGTAATATACCACATTAGGAGAATGAAAAAGAAGAAATGGCATGATCACTTGATGCAGAGAAAGTATTTGACAAAATTCAACACACTTTCATGACAAAATAAAACCCTCAACAAATTAGAAATAGAAGAAAACTATCTCAACATAATCCAGGCCATACAATGTGGAAAACTCACAACTAACATCATGCTTAATAGCGTGATCCTATAAGCTTTTCTTGAAAGGTCGGAATCAAGGCAAGGATGCCTGGTTTTGCCACTTATATTCAACATAGTATTAGAGGTTCCAGCCAGATAAAATTGAAAATATGAAGAAATACAAAACATCCAAATTGGAGAGGAAAAGACAAATTATTTCTCTTTACAGATGACATGATCATATATGTAGAAACCATGAAGACACAAAAACACTATTAGAAAAAATAAATAAATCCAGTAATGTTGCAAGAGACAAAATAAACACACACAAAAATTGTTGTTTCTATACATTAACAATGAAAAAACTGAAAATTTAAGAAAACACATTCATTTATAGTAGTACCAAAAGAAATAAATTACTTAGAAATTAAGTTAACCAAGATGAAAAACTTATACAATGACTATCAAATATTGCTGAAAGAAATTAAAGAAGTAATAAATAAAAAGACATCCTGTCTATCGATTCGAAGACATAATGTCGTTAAGATTACAATATCTACAGTAAGTGATCTACAGATTCAATTCAATCCCAATTAAAATCCAACAAATTTATTGCAGAAATTTTTTAAAAACTTTCACCCTAAAATTCATATGAAATCTCAAGAAATCCTAAACAAACAAGATAATCTTGAAAAAAGAAAAACAAAGTTGGAGATATCACACTTCCTGACTTCAAAACTTATAGTAATCTGACAGTAATAAAGCTACCGCAATCAAAAAAGAGTGCAGTACTAACATAAAGACACACATCTACAGCAATGGAGTAGAATAGAAAGCCCAGAAATAAACCTTCCCAAATATGATCAAATGATTTGGGACAAGCATGCCAAGACTATTCAAGGGGGGCAAGGACAGTCTTTTTAATAAATGGTGCTGAGAAAAACTGGAAATTCATATGCAAAAGAATGAACCTGGATCATTACCTTAACACCATATACAAAAATTAATTCAAAATAGATCAGTAAATTAAGTGTGAGATAAAAACTAAATACTTTTAGAGAAAAAAAAAAACAGGAGAACTGCTTCATGACACTGAATTTGGCAATAATTACTTAAATATGAAACCAAAGAGCATGGGTAAAAATTTAAAAATAAATTGGACTTTACCAAATGAAAAACTTTTGTGCATCAAAAGTCCCCATTAACAGAGTAAAGAGGCAACACAGTGAAGTGGAGAAAATATTTTCATATCCCATGTATAATAAGGGATTAATCTCCATAATATATAAATGACTCCTGTAACTCAACAGCAAGAACAAAAACATTTTGATTTAAAAATGGTCAAAGGACCTGACTAGATGATTCTCCAAAAGAGATAAACAAATGGTCCATAGCATGTGAAAAGATGCCCAATGTCACTAATCATTAGGGAAATGCAAATAGAACCACCAAGAAGTGCCATCTCACAATCATTAGGGTAGCAAATAATCAAACAACAACAAGGAAGAAAACACAGATGCTGACTAGGATGTGCGTAAATTAGAACTCTTTGAATGGCTGGTGGGACTATAAAATGGTGCAGCCACTGTGGAAAACCTGGTGGTTTCCCCCAAAACTGACCGTAGAATTACCATTTGATCCAGTGACTCCACTTCAGGGTATACAAACAAAAGAATTAAAAGCATAGACTCAAACATGTATTTGTATACAAATGTTCATAGCAGCCACTATTCGCAATAGCCAAAAGATGAAAACAGTCCAAATGTGCATCAAGGGATAAACAGATAAAAAAATGCAGAATATATACATACAATGGAATATTACTCAGCTGTAGAAAGAATCTTCTGGTACATGTTACAACACTGATGAACCTTGAAGACATTATGTCAAGTGAAAAAGCCAGATACAAAAGGCCAAACACTATGACTCTACTTACATGAAATACCTAAAATAGCCAAATACATAGACACAGAGGGTAGCAGGTAAATTTTCCTAGCTTGGAGGAGAGGGAATGGGGAGTTACTATTTAATGGGTGCTGGGTTTTTATTTAGGCTGCTGAAAATACCTGGAGATGGATAGTGGTGATGGTTGCATAACCATGTGAATGTGCATGCCAGTGATGTGTGTCTTCAAAATGAGTACAATGGTTAAGTTTTGTTATATAGGTTTTACCACAAGAAAAAAATAAGTAAAATGCCACAATAACAAAAAAAAACTAGATCATCTATTTTTCTATGCTTTGCTACTACAATAACTTACTTGGCAGAATAATCTTCCTCAAAGACATTGGTTATCCTATGAGTTCTTTACCAGTAACCCATGGTAGATTTATAGTGACTACCACTTACCAAAATGTGCTCCCTAATGCTTTAGTGTAACCCTATCTGCAGATTTAGAAGAGTGATAGGAACAGAAGGGATAAGGGAAGAAGGAATGGCAGTGTGGGAATAAAGGCAATCTAAAAAATGCAGAATCCATTTCAAACAGGAAACACAAGCAAATGCCCTGAATCTTAAGAGACACGGGATGAACTATTTAACTGAGAAGGGTCTTTCTGCATGTTACTTCCATAAATGAGAATAAGAATAAAACTGCACATATCATTGCATATTTTGTCGGGAGGCATACACATATATTAAGAGAAATAAGGCAAACCTAGCAAAATGCCACCAGTGGGTGACACTCAGTAAAAGGTACAGTATATGAAATTTTCTTATACTTGCTTTTCAAAGTATAATTTCATTTTAGAAACTAAGTGTTAAAAGTACAACTATCTGCCCTGGCTGCTATGGCTCAGAGGATTGAGTCTTGGCCGGGGAACTGAAAGGTCACTGGTTCAAAGAACTGAAAGGTCCCAGTCAGGGCACATGCCTGGGCTGTGTGCCAGGTCCCCAGTTGCAAGTGTGTGAGAGGCAACCAATCGATGTATCTCTGACACATTGATGTTTTTCTCCCTCTTTTTTTCCCTCCCTCCCCCTCTCTCTAAAAGTAAATAAATAAAATCTTTCTTTAAAAAAAGTACAATGATCCACCCTAGCCAGTGTGGCTCAGTTGGTTGGGCATCATCCTGAAAAGCAAAAGATCACAGATACAGTTCCTGCTAAGAGCACATATCTCCCTGGGTTGCAGGCCTACACCCCAGCTGGGGCACGTGTGGGAGGCAACCAATCAATTTCTGTCTCTCACGCTGATGTTCTTTCTTTCTCTCTCCCTACCGCTCTCTCTAAAAAAGAGAAAGAAAGAAAATCCTTGGTGGGGTGGGGGGTGGAGAACAGAACAATTATCCCATGGGACTCCTGACCAATTTTTGATTGCCATTGTAAATATTAAACTGGTTTTCTATGGTATCTGTGTATGTTTCATTATCAGAATACATAAACATGGTCTTACATTCAAATGTCTCAAATGTTCAGTTTTATATTTTTAAGTCAGATATTCAAGATGCATTTAATGCTGTTTAAAATACCAGCTCTATCAGTTACTACTTATGTGGCTTAAACAAGTAGCCTCACCTAGCTATGCTTAGGTTTTTAAGGACAATTACAGAGATAATGGAAGCAAAATTGAAGTTCTGCCTAGAGGACGTTTTGCTAATAAAACTAGACACTATAAACTTATATCTTAGCATAGCATGCAGCACAAGATAACATTCCAGGATCTATGTGTTGAATCAGATGAAGATTAGTTGACAATAATTGCATTGAGCCAAAAGTCCACTGGGTTATGCATTTCAACATGATCTGCAAATCGTAGTATATTAAGAAACAAGGTATACAGTATCATTTTTTATCATAGCAAAGCAGTAAGCAAGTTCAAACACACTGCTCCTGTACCACTCCCTTTAGTCTGATTCTTCAGTGTGGGTGGAGAACAAAGACTGTGGTGCAGACCAGGAGCCTCGAACCACAGCATTAGAATGGCTGGAATCGTACAATTCCCTCTCTAGAGTGAAGATTAAAGGAAACTCTAGAGATGTGACAGCAACAACTGCTAACAACTTTACAAAAACTTGGCCTCTGGGTTCTTAGATGTGAATGAGCCACAAAAGTTTGAACTTTAAAATAACAAAATGCAGCTGTTCGACTGTGTTCAGGACTGGTTTTCAAAATTCATTTACAAAAGCATCACCTGAAGGGATTGTTAAACCCAGATGGAATGCTCTTATGAAAACACACACGAAAGAGAGAGAAAGAATCTGAGAGTGAGTTGAGGGTGCTGGTGGGTGCAGGGAAAGGAAGGGAGAGTTTTGACTAGCTATTTTTAACTACTAAAGATCAGGGATGTAGAAACTAAATTATTTCTATGCAGACATTACAGAACCTCTTTATACATATAACTAATAGAAACTGTCTCTTGAGACTATAATTGCCTGCAAGCTTCTGGACAGTATTGCCATGTTCTGTGCATTCTAATGCCTACCACAGAGACTGACACAGCAAGGCAGGCAGGGTCCTACGGGAGCTTCTTCCACTCTACTTGCTGCTGACCTAAGATGAGGTTCCAGAGCAGCACATCCAGGGGGACACCTGCACCTAACTGTCACTGTGCAAAGAGGCTGAGCTTCCTCAAAACTAAAGCTAGCCCCAGACCCCTGCAGGCCAGACAATAGGCAAGCTCCCTTCCTGCCCACTCTTCAGTGGTCACTCTGAATCACAAGTCAAGTTCTGAGTTCCAGACAAAGTGAGAGGTAAAAAAGGTGGACTTACTTATGCCACAGCAACACAGGTCCGAGAACTGTCTCAGGTGCTCTCAGTTTGTATGTGCTCTCTCCACCTTCCTGTCCCTCCTTTATAGGGACTAAAATAGACTGAGAAACGTAACCATTGGTCTAGTAAAATCTAAAAATGCTGTCATCAAACTGAAATTGAAAGTAAAAGCAGTTCATGGGATATTTATAGTTAGCAAGGGAATGTTGAAGACACCCGAGAAGGACGTGAATATGGTTGTTCTGTGCAGCATGAAGGAGGTTACAAAAAACTCAGTTACTGGGTAGTCACACCTTAGTAAACACACTCCACCAGCCATCTTGTGCCCTCAACGTCCTGAAAGGCTTTCATGACCTCTTACAATACACCTCTCCCAATTGGTTAATTTTCCTTGGCACACAAGAAAAACAGAAAATTCATGGCAGAAATATAAGCAAAGCTGTATAAACCAAGTGTATTTCCAGCATTTTTCTCTTACTGGGATTCCTGGGATTCCTGGGGACTTTGGTTAAGGAAGAGATTTTATTGATAGCATTTTTCATATGTTCCCTAATATATATTTAATTAAGCCCTGACCAGTATAGTTTAGTTGGTTGATGTCATCCCACAAAAGGTTGCCAGTTCAATTCTGGGTCAGGGCACATGCCTGGGTTGCAGATGAGTAGGAGAGACAGGAGATCAATGCTTCTCTCTTATATCAAGGTTTCTCTCCCTCTCTCTCTCCCTCCTTTCCCTTCTCTCTAAAAAGAAATGAATAAAATATATGTCATTAAACAAGTCTCTTTTTCAATACAATCATTAGAAAACAAAGATAAGTAAGATAAAAATGAATAACCATTCAATGCTTTATCCAGAGAGACTCACTATTAATATTTTCCCAGCATTTATTCTTACACATTTCAAATACATGGACCCCCTCCTAGCATAGGCACCCCCTAGCTACAAAAATTTAGCCAACTACCCACTTCCAGGGGCATTGATTCAGCCCGACGAGAAAGTGATTGGGTGTGCATGTTTTATTTGTGAGGAAAGAATGGAGCATATGTACAACAGGAAAAGGAGAGGTGCTGTGGGAAGGTCACCTGAGGAAGCTGGGCTGTGTGAGGATGAAGGGAATTCACCTTCTGCACTTACCTCACCATCCTCCTTACCTATGGAGGTAAATAAATATTTTAGTATTTGCAGGCCATAAGGTCTCTGTCATAACTATTCCATGACAGCATCCTAGACAATAGGTAAACAAATGGGTGTGACTCTTCCAATAAGACTTTACTTACAAAAGTAGGCAATGGGACAGGTTTGGTCTATGGGCCATACTGTGCTCATCCTTGATTTAGGAAAATGTGATGTTGCTGGGGTTTATCATGGGATGATGACCCCAGGCATCATTGCCTTAACAGACCGATGGTCTAATTCCAGAATTTCAATCTGTGCCTGCTTCTAGGGACATTTGGGTCAAACAGTATATATAAAAGTTTTTAATGTTTAGGAAAAGAGACATGGAAGGGGGATGTATTTTCTCCATTTATCTGAGCATCACCCAAGTGAGTTTCTACTGGGATGTCTGGGCCATGCATCCACATGCCTGCACAACTAATTGTCTAACTCCCAGCAACAGAGCATTGAAAGTAGCTTCTAGCTAGGCTAAAAAGAAACGTGGTGATGAAATAGTCAGTAGTAGCATGGAAGAGGCTGATTTTGGAGGAAGGGAGTGGGGAGACACCAGCCCAGTTCTGCAGGCCTCTGTGAGTGAGCAAGGAAGCCTCACATTTGGGTCCATGTCAAGGTGACTTCAACTGGCCTGAGTGGGGGCATTTCTGCCTGCATTTCCCAGATGTGGCCTGTCCATCCCACACACAAACTAGGAACACCACAGTTCCTGGGGATGCAGCCCAAGGCCATACCTAAGATATAAAGGCTTGCAGGTACTGCCCCCATGTGGTAACTCAGTATCATAAACTTTTCTATGAAAATTGCTTTATTGAAATCAAGAGAATTTACAGAAATATGATTATAACACAGTAGAAACTCACATGAAAATATACCTGTAATGATCATTTTCCCTCTGTATGTTTCCTGACAGACATTGACCATAATTGTAGGTTCTTTAAAACTTAATTGAAATTATGAAAGTGGCAATATCTTAAGCTCCTATGGAGAATATGTGTTTTTACTTGGATGCATGTAATTTATTTGGGAAGTGATGGCAGAGAGCCAGAAGAAGAAAGAAGAAGAAAAGCAAGAATAAGAGAAAATGAAGAAGTAAAAAAAGGTGAGTTATTGAGCTACCACTGTGGGAAACTGAAGATCAGTCCCAACACGGATATTCTGAAGAACAACTAAAATCCACGTCAGGATTATTCTTTTGAATGACAGTGTGGGGATTTATCAATAACCTGTGTTTCCCATCGACAGAGAGTTTCCATGGGGGTCTTCAATCTCCCTGAACTTAAAGGCTTTGCTTGTGCAAAATGGGCTGTCTTTAACAGCTTAAAGAAAAGCCTGAGAGAGAATAGGAGAAAAACATGTGATAGGTTTTTGCTGACTGATACCATGACTTCACTGCTAGAGTGGGTTTGAGAGCAGAGGAAACGCAGAATGAGCAGATAATAAGTATCAGAAATAACTGAAGCCTAAGTATTGGCAAATTTCAATAATATTTAAAATTCTGGGTTAAAAAAAGTTTAACCTTTTCAGAAATAATTAAAAAATTGGCAAACTAGTAATGAATAATATTACTAAGCCAAAATCCAAGGTAAAATGGGGTCCCAAAGAGTTCAGAAAAACATTGAAGCTGCTTTTTGCTAATAGCATGTTCCAAACAAAGGAATGTACCATTAGTTTTGTAATAAGGGGCCAGAGTTCAAAAGCCAGAGCTTGTTCAAAGTAAAAAGTCTATCAGAATATAATTTACAGCATAGTTAAACACGCTATTGTATATTTGAAAGTTGTTAAGAAAATAAACCTTTTTTTAAATACCATTTATTGAGCACTTCACGTGTGGCAGGAGCTCTTTTTTAAAAAAGCATATTTTATTGATTATGCTATTACAGCTTTCCCAATTTTTTTCACCCCTTTATCCCTCCTCGGCCCTATACCCCACCACCCTCCAGCATTCACCCCCTTAGTTCATGTCCATGGGTGATACATATAAGTTCTTTGGCTTCCCCATTTCCTATACTATTCTTAAACTTCCTTCCCACCATCTGTTTTGTACCTACAATTTATGATTCTTATCCCCTGTACCTTTCCCCCATTCTCCTCCCTCCCTCTCTCCACTGATAACCCTCCATGTGATCTTCATTTCTCTGATTCTGTTTATGTTATAGTTGTTTGCTTAGTTTCTGCTTTTTTGTTTTTGTTTTAGGTTCACTTGTTGATAGTTATGAGTTTGTTGTCATTACTATTTGGGGTTTTTTATCTTTTTCTTAGATACATCCCTATAACATTTCATATAATAAGAGCTTGGTAACGATGAACTCCTTTAACTTGACCTTATCTGGGAAGCACTTCGTCTGCCCTTCCATTCTAAATGATAGCTTTGCTGAACAGAGTAATGTTGCATGCAGGCCCTTGCCTTTCACGGCTTCAAATACTTTTTCAGTACAGGGTGTTGGGAGAAAAAAATAATCTAGTAGAAAATGTCCTTTAGATATTCAAAACACAACTCTACTAGAAACCCCCCTTTGGATGTTAAAAGACAAATCAGTTATTTGCAACACTGTCTGCACATAAAGATCAACTGGGGCACTTTTGAAAAAATACCAACACTTGAACTCTGGATCCATCAAAGAGACTCTGATTTAATAGATCTGGACCTGGAGCTGACCATGAGTGTTTTTTAAAGATGTTTCACCAGGTGATTCTAATTGCAGTCAAGGGGGCAGTCAATTGGAATAAACCTTCAAAGCAAGTGTGAACTAGAAGTAAATCTGTACCTCACTCCCAGTGGATTATACCCAACATTGATGTGGGCCAATTTGGAAAAGAGAAAGAACAAAGGCGGGGGGACAGGGGTGGGGAATAAAAGATCCCCAAGGAGCTATAATGACCACCTGGCTATCATATATTTGTAACCTGGAGTTCATGTGAAAATGTGTGGTTTTAGCCCTGGCTGGTGTGTCTCAGTGGACTGAGTGCTGGCCTGACAACCAAAGGGTTGCCAGTTCTATTCCCAGTCAGAGCACATGCATGGCCTGTGGGCCAAGTTCTCAGTAGGGGGAACTAGAGGGCAATCACACATTGTTGTTTCTCTCCCTCTTTCTCCTTCTCTTCCCCTCTCTCTAAAAATAAGTAAATAAAATATTTTTAATGTATGTTTTTATTATTATCCAAATACGATGAGGCCAGGAGATAAGAAGATAATTGCCATTGAAAAAGTATTTTGTTTCTCAGTCCCCAAGAATAGAGGGCATGCCAAACCAGGCAGGGCCAACACAGGGAAGCATGAGGGTCAGTGAGGAAGCAGAGGAAGCAACGTGAAACATGGGCAAGAGCTTTTGTTGGTATTTCTACAAGAATGAATGGGTGAGGCATAGGAAGCACGGTTAGAATTGCCTAGTCTGAATAACTTCAGCTGACTCTGGGGTATAGAGCTGTGGGTAGATGTCCGATATCTGACCCTTATGTGATTAGGGCAGGTGGATAGTGACTCAGAGTGAGAGAGCTAATAGAGGAAGTAGTTGGGGTGTGGGTTTTGCACTGGGAGGTTTGTATATGAAAAAGTACAGTTTGGGGAAATTAATAATTGAAACTGAAACCACAATTAATATGCCTGTGCTATGGTTCACAAAACAGATAAATTGTACCAAACCCTAACATGCAAGATGACTCACCTAAGCTCTAACCCTTTTAATGCCAGCTCATTTCAGCCCAGTTTTTGGAAGAGACCACAGTCCTACAGGTCCACGTGTTCTAAGGATAAAATGGCAAACTATATCAGCAATTTAAGTACTTTACAGATCCTAAGTAATCGCTGCTCAGACTATCTCACATTTAACTTCAACACATGCCAATCCTCCCCAAAGACCCTCTGTTGGGAGGCACCAAGATTTTCCATTGTGTGCA